TTCAACTCCCAGAATTCCTGAGCCAGCTATGCTGACTCAAGAATTCTGGGAGTTGAAGTCCATGAGTCATAAAAGAGCCGAGGTTGCCTACTCCTGGTCTAGTCTAACAAAGAGAAGGACTAGGGATGACATGATAGCAGTCTATCAATATTTAAGGGACTATCACAGAGAAAAGGGGATCAACTTATTCTCCAAAGCAGGGGTCCCCAACCCTAGGCTGCAGATCAATACCGTTCCACAGGCCATTGGGAACCAGTCCATGCAAATGGTGGGTGAGTGCACAAAGCTTCATTTACGCACACACAGGAGCTAGGTTGTGCACATGAAACCATCCCCTCCCCCTATCGCTGCCATCATGAGCCACCCACGGTGGTACAGTAGTGCAGTGGTTAGAATGCAGTACTACAGGCTACTTCTGTTGACTGCTGGCTGCCTGCAGTTTGGCAATTCGATTCTCACCAGCTCAAGGTTGACTCAGCCTTCCATCCTTTTGAGGTTGGTAAAATGAGGACCCAGATTATTGGGGGCAATATGTGACTCCATAAACCACTTAGAGAGGGCTGTAAAGCACTGTGAAGCAGTATATAAGTTTAAGTGCTATTGTTAATGCTATTGCCATCACCACTGCTGCTGCTGGTCCTTGGAGCCAGAAAAGTTGGGAACCACTGCTTCAAAGTACATGAGGGCAGGACAAGAAGCAAAGGAGGGAAAATTATCAAGGAAAGATCCAACCTAGAACTAAGGAGAAATTTTCTGACAGAATAATTAACAGCTTGCCTCCAAAAGCTGTGGTGCTCCATCATTGGAGGTTTTCAAGAAGAGATTGGACAACCCTTTGTTCAGAATGGCATAGGGTCTCCTACTGGAGCAGGGGATTGGACTAGAAGTCCTCCAAGGCCCTTTCCAACTATGGTTCTGTGATTCTAGATTTGGATGTGCCGAAAGGAAATCTCATCCTTGGGAAGGGACAGTATTAAAAGAAGCATTTCTCTTTCAATAGGAAATTCCTCATTTAATAGGAAAATGGAATATGAAAAGCATGAATGTCACAAAATGAAAACTTGTTAAAAGTTGCAAATGTACTAAAATCGTTTTAGTTATAAGTAAACTTAGGTAAACAAAACTGCTGTTTCAATGTAGATAATTACATTATATACTGTTCAGGGCATGAAGTCATATAAAGAAATGGAATAGCAATGATACCTCAAAACAACTTCACACATATGTGCTTGATTATATTCCAATAAGTTACACAATCATCTTTATTAAAGTAACCAGCTAGTTAATTAACATCTCTTTTTTAATTCCCTTGCTTTTTCCATTATCCATTGGATGATCTTTGTGTTCTTGCTTCTTCTGAATCAACTTATATAGCATGTGAGATGACTGCAATTGCTCAATAATTTAAATATTGCTTGGCACGGGAATTTGGTACTTTTGAAAGCTCAACCATCAGAAAGGATGATTGAAGAAAAACTTCCTGGAAATTATGGTGCTGAGCAATCTGTTGAGAATTTTGTTGTTGTTAGTTGCGAAGTCGTGTCCGACCCATCGCAACCCCAAGGACAATGTTCCTCCAGGCCTTCCTGTCCTCTACCATGTTCTGGAGTCCATTTAAGTTCACACCTACTGTTGAGAATACTAGAACTGAAAGGACAAATTTCACTATTAGATGAAGTAAAATTATATTACTTGCTGAAAGCACAGTGAAACTTAAATATTTGGACACTTATTTTGAGGGGAAGAGTTAGAAGATTCTACTGCTTAGAAAAATCAAATGTGATAGAAAAAGAAGCCATAAAAGACAAGGTGGTTAGGTACTTTCTTAAGAACAGAATTGTGAACTTGCAAAAACTCAGAGAAGCAATTACTGGCAGGCAATCACAGCAAGGTGATGTCTAGTTGTTCAGGAAGAGTTGGAATGGACTAAATAATCAAATAATCAGTGATATATAATTATCAGCCTTCCCAGGTAGATCAGACAGGAATCATGACTCGATGAACTAATTCTACTTTATTGAAAGGCTACATTAACAGTATCTTATAAGTTTGATAGTACAAATCTTCCACTGCTTTTTTTTACAGTGAAAAACTCTTCTGAGTTTCTTTCTTTGCCCATTATGCAGCTCTGGGTTGTGTCCTTTCTTATCTGACCCCACTCCCTTGGCAGTTTCCCATCTCTACCACCATCACTGGTCATTCGCGTAGACCACTTCAGTAAGGATATGTTCCTAGTTTAGATGCAATGATGGAAGAACTTAAATAATGTTATGACAAAATGTAAATGTATGGTAAACCATGAAATATAAATGTTTTGTAAACAATAAAGCAGGGGTCCCCAACCTGTGGGCTGCTTGGCCACCAGGCCGCGTGAAGGGATGGTCAGTGCACTCACCCGCCACACTTGTCCTAGGGCTACCCGAGCATCCTGCCGGCGCTAGCACCACCCCACCCTGAGTGTCCCCCCGGTGCTAGCACTGCCCCATCCCCAATCTTCCCACTGACGCTAGTGCCACCCTGAGCACCCCGCCGAGCATCCTGCCGGCGCTAGCGCCATCCCACCCCAGAGTGTCCCACCAGTGCTAGTGCTACCCTGAGCATCTCGCTGGCGCTAGCGCCGCCCCACCCGATTGTCCCACTGCCGCTAGTGCCACCCATTGTGTCCCGCCAGCACTAGCATCGCCCCATTTGCAGCACTTGTGCCTGCGTGCGGCCATTTGTGTGTGCACATTTGTATGTATGTGCACAGGGCTCATTTTTGCACGTGCTCACACATGGGCCATTTGCACGCGCGCAATGCCTGCCTCCCTTTCCGGGCCGCCAAATCAAAAAGGTTGGAGATCTCTGCAATAAAGTGTATGTAAATGGGTGTAAATGGTAAAATGTAAATAGATTGTAAACTGCCCAGGTTCATTTAGGGCGAGATGGGCAGGATAAAAATGTGATGTATAAATTAAAAAAATTGCAACAATTGGAGAAATGGCCAAACCTAGAATTACAAGAATATTTGGATTCGAAAAATGCAAATATAGATTATATGTTAATACATAATTTAAAGACATTTGTTCTTTGTCCACCTCTCCCTCAAGCAACATAAATGCAAACTTTATGCATAACATCATTTGATGGAAAACAGCAGAATAAAATCAACTATTATAACAAGAAGCAGAAGATCCAAGGTTTAGGTTGCAAGACAGATTATTAATTATTGATGTTAAATATATAGTAAACTTAGAAAATTAAAGTTAAGAAATAAGCCAAAGGAAGTTGTCCTGGATAATATAATTAGTATATAAGATCGTTATAATGAACAGATTTGGTATGCTTAATGTTATACAGTAGTAAGGTGGCCAACTTTTTTACAATGAAAAGGAGGACAGAAATAAATTGAAGAAAAAAATATTGTAAATAAAAGAAACATTTTATTCATTGCAACAATAATACAGAATACACTATAATATGATAAATGCATAATAAAAAACATTTGTAACAATAACATTTTATATTGTAATTATGCTTAAATGCCGCACACACACCCCACAGCCGCCCCGCCAGCACTGCTGCCGCACCGTGTAGAGCGGGCCCCATGGCTCCCAAAGCACCAGCTGTGCTGCTCCGGCCCCAGGGGGCAGCCCGCTGTCGACGCGCCCCGCCTGCAGCCACCCCGCCAGCACCACCGCCCACCCTGCACAGCCCCATGTAGAGGAGACCCGTGGCTCCATAGCACAGGGGGCAGCCGACCATCGCCGCTCCTCACACCCCCACCCGCAGCAGCCCCGCTGCCCCTGCCTCTTGCGCCCACAGCCATTATTGCCCTAGCAGGACCGAAGATCAAGAGAAAGTTACCGTGGCGTTGCCGCTCCAGTCTCCTCCAGGTATCTTTGGGACTAACTAGGAGATGGTGTAGTTGGGTAGCAGGGAGGGGTGCAAAGTTCCTGCCAATTCGCCTTTGCTGCAGACAACTTACATGTGCAGAGTTTGCCGGCCGGGTGTTTTGGCGTGCTCAGCAGCAATTCCTATTGGCTTTCGAAAGCCAATAGGGGAAGTAGCACAGCTCATGCAAAAGTTGAAAAAATACCATCAAAAAAACTTGCCGGAACGCCGTTCTGAGCGTTCTATGAGAAAAAAAAAGCCCTGCAGATTAGTCTTCAAATATTGAAAAGGAGGACATGTAGGAGGACACTTTTCGAGGGAGGACAGAACTTAAAAAAGGAGGACTGTCCTCCCTAAAGGAGGACGGTTGGTCACCTTAACAGTAGAGAACCTGAGGAGTTATGGGAGAGACGAAGGAAAATGTGAAAGGAAAGTGATAATCAAAGCAAAAGAAAATTTCTCAAAATTTCAAAAAAGGGAAAGAAACAAGTAGCTTTCAATACAAACTATTACGGGGAGAATGAAGGCCTTAGGCATCAAAGGCCAACATCACATTCAAAGTCAAACTACTAAGGATAAGGACAAGAGCAGATGTAGGTTGGCAGACTCTCCTGGCCAGAGGGAGAAAATAGCAAGAGAAGAAATAGATAAGGCGGATGAATTGGATATTATTGGAATATCTTTGGAAGCATTAGGGGTTATTGCTGAAGGCAGATTACAGACATTTGCCCATCTGAGGCTCTGGCCTAAATTGATGGTACCTAGCTAATCACCTAAAAATGAAATGAACAGTATGAGACTCTTCACAAGTCTTTTCTTGTGAAGTCAGTCAAACCTACCTTTTCACAGCCTTTTTCTAGGACCAGAATGGGGAAATTTTCATTTTAAAATCTAATCCTCATATTTAAGTGTGATTTTTAAATACACCATATAATATCCTCAGAAAATAGGTACTCTGAAAGTATGTAGACTTAAATTTATTTTGTACTGATTAATTCTGTTTCATATCCTTCAAAATTATAACAGGCAAGAGAGAAATTCCACAGCGTCAGTCCTCTTGTTGATTGAGCCTGCTTCCTTCTATTATTTAACAGGAAGCCCTGGGACAATCAGCTCACACAGTCAAAGTTCACTCCATTTTTCCCCCAACCACAGAATGAATAGAACAGTAAGGAACTAAGGACGGGCAAGTGGAAGAAAATATGATAGCTTTAAAAATGTTAATATTTTTGTGGATATGTCACTGTGTTCTTCTCCAAGGTAAGGTATTATATTGACCAATCATATGTCTACTCAATAGTAAGCCTCATGAAGTTCTTTAATAAGCAAGAGAACAATTGCAGCCTTAATTGCATTCAGTTAGATAGAAGATCAAAGTTCAACAATAGAGTAGATGGTTAGCTTGCATTTTTTTTTTCTGTGACAGCTACAATTAAAAAATGTCTAATCTAACTTGTTTAGATAAGACTTCTTTCTGCTTGAGTCACTGGAGAGTTGTTGATGCTGCTGAGCTAGATGCAACTATGTTCTTTTTACAGTTCTTAAATCAGCTTCATAAATTTTCGAGAAATAAGCTAAAGCAGTTTCTCTCTATTTCTGAATGGTCAAAAGAGTTGTTAGTTGTTGGAAATCTCTTGCTATTCATATTGTACTACAAATAGAGATTCTGAATCTTGACATTACAAATTGGCTCATTACACATAAATAGACTGGAGTAGGGGTGGGGGAAAATGGCTTATTTATCCCCAATAATAATATTTCATGTAACTTAATTGTTTAATTAATTAAATTAATGTATAACATTTATAAATAAATAACATATTTTTACAAACTTACAGATAGAACCAAAAATGACTTTATGTGCATATCTGATGCCCAAATCTCATCAAATTATAATTCATAGTGAGGCATCTGCAAATACTTTTTCTTAGGCTGGCGCAGATATGACTTCATATGCACCACATCTGCTCTAGGTAGTTGAGACAATAGCTTTGAAAAACTTCCTTATTATGTATCAAGTCTCAGCAAGATATCACAAAGCCACAAAGATTGGAAGACCACTTGTGTTCAGCCTAGAACTGTCACTATTGTTGTTCTCACCACCACTGATTTTGTCTTTCTAGTCTTAATATTGATGGTTTCAACTGAGATATAGATTTAGTGGACAAAAAAGTAAAGAAGAACAAATGATATCTATATTTCAGAAAAACATAAATTAAGTATAGTATCTCTCAAATCATGCTCCATTCTCTAAAGTAATTATTCTTGTAAGACTATTCTTAAGGGAGTCGATAAGCAAACCTCTTTTGTGTCCTGAACTGACCCTGCTTCTATTCTTCCTTTAATCCACTCTTGAATATCAGCTTCTTGAAATTAGGATACTAATGGTCTTATTATTCTCAAACTCAGGGAAATTATGACCTGCCTTATCTTCCCAGCAAAGAAATCAAATAACAATTACCGTACATCAACTGAATCAGAGTTCAGTGACAAATTTCCTTTTAATGCAAAAGAAAGTTGTTTAAATAAATTAAAACAATACATTTTATTTTCAAAAGCATCATATCAAAAATAATATTAAACAGGATGCACATGTAGCATGTTTGTTTATTGGATTTGTTAAAAAATGTGGGGGGAAATCAGAAATTAAGCAAACCATGTGGGAAAGAGGTATATCAATATGGGCATGATGATCCACCCTGTTTATGGAAATCTGAGGGGAGGTGATATGGAACAAGCTTGGGCATACCACATCGGAAGACATTCACTTCAAGATCATGGGAAATATTTGTCAAAAGGGCCAGAAATGAAGTAGAGATCATGCCTCAATAGTCTGAAACTGAAGTACTAGTAGCTAATGAATGGGAAGAAATGGGCATTATTCAAATAGGCCATTTCAATATTTATGAGAGAGAAGATCAGTTTTGCTTTAAGTACATATAGTTATGAAAACCAGAACTTTCCTTCAAATGTCTTCTAAGAACGTCCTTTTCGTTTTTCATTTTGCTTGTAGGTCCTGAATCTAAGGAGAACAGCAGTGTCTTTCTTCCCTCCTTGGCAGGTAGAGGATAGCTGCTACTATTTATTAAACAACACAATTTTCTTCTCAATTTAGAACTATTTGAAAACTAAACAAAGTCTTATATATTAACCTGATGGATAAAAATTAGCTTGAAATGTAATTTTTTTCTCCTTGAAATAAAACATTAATCTTTCATACCTTCCTTTTTATTTGCAAAGCCTATTATACTAAGTTCCAAGCAAGTTCTGCGACAGTGTTGCAGAATCAGTGTTCTCCTATGATATTTAAAAGATTCTAGCTTGGTTTATAAGAGAAAAAGCATGTTAAGAGATTTAGATTATTATCAAAATAACTAAAAAAAATTGTTATATGGTTGGTCAAATTCTTTCAGTCCTGTTTCAGGACTGTTTACCACACTATTTCCCCACCCAGTTTTTCTCTAGTAAAAATGGAGCAAAAGAAGACAGCAATAAACAATGACAATAATCCAAAATAGGAAATCAACATTAATTTATGCATTTAAAAACTGCTTTTCCCTGCCTCTAGACAGCCCACAACATATTAATTAACATGCATTCTGTTAAAAGAATTTTATAAAATCTTTATACATGCAGCATGTTGTTATTATTGTTATTATATATTACATCAGTGATTATCGGTGAACTGACGACTGAACAGCTTTCCATTTTGCACAGCAAAAGTTGTTTAAGCATCCTTCATCCAAAAGACTACATAAAATAGCTATTTTAACAGTTGCTAACCAACTGGAAAAGTGCTCTACCTTCAGGAGAAAAAGAGGGGAAACAAATTTAATTATTTTTTTAAACAATTTTTATTTATTCAAAGAAAAGTTAAAATACAAAACTCCAAAAAATTTAAAAACAACAACAAAAGATACAAAGCACACAACACATTTTAAAAAGTGCATTGAAAAAGAAAAAATATACATATTATCTCCCCCATTGAATACTAATTAATACATTGCTACAATATTAGTTCCCACCCCTTGCAAAACAGTGCCCCCATTTTTTTAAACTAGTAAATCTATTTGCAAGCTATAGAATTATCATCTCTATGCTACATTAATGACAACATAGTTAACAGGAAGAACAATAATAATGAAAAGGACAAGATTAGAGTTTCCAAACCCTCTGTTAACAAAGTGTTGCTGTAATCAACTTATAGAAAAATTACCTATCTATCTTATCTATCCCAAATCATTCCAAAAGTTAAGAGTAATTCATCCTGGATCAAATATCCACATTTGATTCTTGATACTATTTTTTATCAGTTGTTGTCTAGCTAAATATATATTTAGATATATGCTCTATGAAGTTTAACCAGAGAATAAAGAAGCCGAAGCAGAAGGAAACAGAAAAGGTATTTTCTGGATATTTCGATTCAAGATTAAAAGAAAAATACACTAAATATTTCGCAAATTAAAAAGATAACAAAAACTCTGCAGTGAGAGTCCAATATTAATATAAATCAAATGGAAGCACTTCACCACCAACAAGCACTCCATGTTAAAGTGAAAGTTATTTAGAACAACAGCATAAATCAAAGGGCGGGGGAAGAGAACAGCTAAAGTTCAACAGGGGATTGAAACAAATCAGCATTCGGCAAGTTTACTTTTAAAGATAAAAAGCAAAGCAAATTTCAAAAATGAAATTAGGACCCAGGCACACTTAAAAAAAAAACAACCTGAAATGCCAGACAGGAAGATTGATGCCCATGACTTTTAGGCAGCTCCCAAAGGGAGCTGAAATCTTCAAAACTCCCCTTCCCAAATGGGTTCACAGCCATTCAAAAGTCATCTTGGGTCATTCTTAAATGTTTCCATTCACATCTAGGGAGCAGCACTGCCATCGAGCCAGCTTAGGGAGCAAAATAGGCAGATTGTTGGTAGGGGAGAAAGATTTCCTTACTGTTCAGCAGCCATCTTGAGGAGGAGTCAAACAATTTAATTAATTTAATTGATGTTGGCTTGCATCTAAATTATTTTCCAATATGTTGTGTCTATGAGTATATTTGTGCGTGTGAGACAATACTAGTAGAAAAAATGTAATTATTGATTTTCTATTAGGTTCTTTTTGTCCCACGTTGCTAGTGCCAACTAAAGTTATGCTGTACATTTCATCTCTAGCATCTTGGGCATAGGAAGAAGAGGATGATTAGCAAGCAAGGCTGCTGCAGCACAATATTTTCTTAACTAGCTAACTATCTTGATCTGGTGTATGTCAGAATAAATCAGTATTCCTTGACACTTTTACTTACTAGGACAAAGTAGCATTGTTGGTCTACACTGCTTAGTCAGTCCCACTTTGCTTGTTTAGTGTATTATTTTTTAAGAAAATTCATGACTCTTTGCTCTTCTAACAAGTCAACATTTTAAAGCCAAAAATAAGTCTTAGGTTCTGTTTCTGGATGGGTCGGACACGACTTCGCAACTAACAACAACAACAAAAAGGAAAGCAACAAGTTAGGAATCCTAGTTTAACATAATTGAACAAGGTTCAAAATCTTCATTTAAGGTTTTCTGCCTTGGTTAGGTATTCCTGCTGAATAGTGGAACTAAAAGGGAATCATTGCCATGCTGATTCAGTTCCAACTGAAGAGTGAGATTTATTATAACAGGCCAATTCACTTATTCCCCAAAGTGGCACCTCCATGGACAATAGTTTAACTTCAAATCTGTCTAAATAATGGAAGGATTTACTTTCTCTTTGTTTCACATATAAACAAAGAGATATTTGTTTTCTCTTTTTATTACTCTATATCAGGGGTGTCAAACTGCCGGCCCGCGGGTCGGTTTCATCATACCGGAGCCGCGCCCACCCCATTGCCAGCAATGGCGAAAAAGCTCTGATACGTCGCGTGACGTCACGTGACGTCGCGAGTTTGACATGCCTGCTCTATATCCTCTTTTTCCAAGTATCCACAGGTATATCTAAACGGATGATTCTCACAAAAGATTTCCAGAATGAAAAACCAGATTTTCCTACTACCTCTTATCCTACAGAAGAGAGATCTGCAGCATTAACAGTGGTAGCATTAAGTGAGTAGACATGGCAGCATAAGTTTCATTTTGTTTAGAAATATTAATGGAAATAGTTTAATATTATTGACATTGATTTGATTTATTTGTTTCTTCCCCTGTAAACCTTTCACCTATCAGTTTTTGTATAAGTAAATCTTATGTGAGGGGGGTCCTTTAAGCCATTAGATCTCATGAAGATTAAGATTTCTAGGGCAATAAAACCTTAAAACTGATTCCTGGGACAAATTAGAATTCAACATAGATCTCTGGTCTCATTTAGCTCACACTATTAAGTTCTATACCCTTCTCTAATATTGCTTGGTTTTGAGCATGAATCTCAGAAGCTGAGCATGTTAAAACTGATATTCTCCCTTCCCCCCCTTTTGAGCAATCATAATAATATTTTTAGGACAGAATTGTTGAGCAGGTCACCTTTGGTTATGTTCCCTTTGAGGGGAGGGCAGTGGTGGGATTCAAATATGTGAACAACCGGTTCTCTGTGTGGATACCGCTTCCAGAAGTCCATTCTGGGCCTGAGCAACAAAAAATTAGCTACTGGTTCTGCCAAAGTGGTGTGAACTGGCTGAATCCCACCACTGGGGGAGGGGGTATTGGCAATCTTTGACATTGTTAAATACAATAGAAAGGTTATTATGGATATTTTCCACTCCTATTTAGGTATCATTATCTTCATTGTCATTCTGGTGGTGATTGTAATAATCCTTGTCAGCGTGGTCAGCATAAAATTCAATTGCCATCATTGTAAAAAGGTAACAGGTATGTAATAGTGTTCAATATTGTTGCAGTATCATCCACGTTAGTAGGTCATACTTGATTGCTAATTTCATTTTAACTAGTTAATTTCATACTGAAATTATTGACAACACCCTTGTTTTTCCTATTTGCTTCCTTGACTCTAGATACTCATCTTAGTATTTGTTTTATGTTTCTTCTTTCCTATTATTTCTGGTATCAAAGCAATTAAGAGTAGAATGGAAAATTCTAATATGTTCTGTTTCTGATTCAAAATCCTCCATGAAAATCTGCCTCCAATACAATGTGTCTGAGGAGCTCTGTTATACACTAAAACAGTATTTTGAAAAATCAATGTTTGCTCTTATAAATGTTTTGGTTGAAGGGAAAGGAGGAGAAATATTGGCTTCAGTGACTGACAGTCTGTCCTCAAATCAGAGTGATCCTTGATATTCACATTTTGTTCAATCAGAATGTCTTGGGGGAAAAATGGAAAGCAAGGTACAGAATACTTCATTCAGCTATTTACTTCATTAACTTCTTTGCATCCATGTCTCTTAGGCATTCAATCACAGTTGATCTCTTGACAGAGGCATCAAAGAGAGCTCTGAACCTCTGTGGAAAATTTCAAGACTAGTACAGTGCTGTTTGATGCCTTGCATATAGACTATTGCAATATACTGCAGGTGGAGCTGCTCTGGAAGATCACTTGAAAGTTGTAGCTGGTCCAGAAGCCAGCATTGCAGGCAATTATGGGCACATCTTAATATGTCCATGTTAATACTTCTGCTGATCACCAGTAAGCTTCTAGGTGCAATTCAAGATATTGGTTGTGATCCAATCCTCCTCAATCCCCAGACCACGGACTGGTACTGGTGCATGGCTGTTAGGAGCTGGGCCGTGTGAGTGAAGCTTCATCTGCGCATGTGTGGGATCAAGGTAGTGCATGAAACCACCACTACCACCACTAGCACCGGTCCATGGAAAAATTGTTTTCCCGGAAACCAGCCCATGGCACAAAAATGGTTGGGGGCCTCTGCTTTATAGCACAGGGCCTGACTAACTGAGGGATCACCCATTTTGCCCACGGGTGATCATTGTTTCATTGCCCATTGTTTCTGACCATCCACTAATATTTAACCCAGTGCACACACTCCAGGTTTCATCTTTAAAACTGTATCATTCGATGGGACATAAATGGCATGCCTTCTCCAACATGACATTTATCCTCTGGAATAGTGTCCCCCTGGAAGGTTCAAGTTGCCCTGATCATGCCATTCTTTAGTTTAAACAAACCTTTTTTTTATATGAATGGTATCCTTATCAAAACTTCCCTCATTAGGGAATTGCCTAGGTGAATGTTTGTATCCATCTGTTCCACTGAGATTTTTTTTTTTTTTTACATTATGACTCCATCAGCATTTTGCATTTAATGGGCTGGGCTTTCCTTTGAAAATCTGGAGCCCACCCAACCTTTGAGTCTCTGGATCTGGACCTGGCAGTTTCCATTCCCTTAGCTAGTGCCTGCACAGTCTAGGCCAGTTGAGAAGGATGTGGGCAAGTGGGGATGAGCATGTGAGAGTGCGAGAAAACAAATGTACATTGCAACTAATAACATTTTCTGTAATTGAAACCTATGTGACTCAGTGCTCATACGAAACTGATTTAATATGTTCCTACTTGTTTCCTACTTATTTGTGTGCTCTAGCCATATTTATCAGAAAAACACAGGTACGAAACAAGGGCTGCTGTGAGATCTGTGTGGCTTGACAAGCAAGCTGTGTGTGAGTGAATGATCCAAAGCTGTACATGTGTTTGTGTAACAGTAGACTCTTTCCTGGCCCCTCATAACATAAGAGTAGATGGGGAATCTATTTATTATCCAGTTCCAGGAACCAATTGGTGAACATGCCTGAGTTTGATAATGGGCTGGATTAGAGAGAACAAGCTGAAAAAATACAATCCAGAAAAGTTGGAGGAGCTGTTGCTAAACAGAAGAATGTTTATTTGTACATATCTTTAATTTCTAATATAAAATGGTAATATATTTTTCTTTTCTTGTCAGATAAACAAAAACTTCAACATTCTACAGTATCATACAGGTACATCTCTTAATACCGTAATGTCTTCTTTCTGATTAAAAGACATTTCTTTATTATGGTGTTAACTGGGATAAATTCTATTTTCTTTTTTTTTTCTGAATTCAATTCTGTCCCTCTCTGAATGATGCAGCATTTCTCATACAAATCTAACTTTTTTTCTCTGGAGATTGGACAATTTTATCTTTTAAACCAATCTATTTATCTTAGCAGTAAATAAAAAAAATCTATCATGAAACATTTGATACTGAGGATGTTTGTTCACTGAGAAAATTATTTTACCTAAAATACAGATCTGGGGACTATTCTCTTACAAAGATGGATTGCTGATTTTTTTTAATTGTTTTCATTGCCATCACTAGTGAGATCTGACCCATTTTCAGACCCAGTATTTGTGTGTGTATGTGTGTGTGGCTTCTTCTACCACACCAAATTTAGATCTGTTCCTTTTTGGTTCTGGAGAGTTATCATGCTGACCATTGGCAGAATCCTGAACCCATTGGCATATTTTCTTTCCAACATTCTGCTGAAAATGGAAACTGTTGGAATAAAAAGCTTTCTACTTCCTTTGGTTGACTGTTATGGAACATTTAATATTTATTACTTCTAGCATTTTATTGGATCTCCTCTCTTCTAATTATTAGAGAAATAATCATTTTTAATTAGCATCTCAAATGGCATGACAGATAACATTGACCTTTAAGGTTATCATGCCTTGGATTTTTGATATTTGAAAGGAGTCCAGGACAACTCGCTGTGGTCGACTCACCCCAGCTGACTCGCTGCAGCCATCTGGCGGGACTGATAGCTGGATGTCAGCAGAGTTGCTGACCCTCGCAGTGGGCGTGCCAGGAAAAACCAGCGGCAGCAGGCCTCCTCTCATAGACGCACTATGCCCTGAGTCTGCATCCCATGCAGGGACTATCTGGGAGTGCTGCGCTTGCTCCACAGGTTAGCCAATGGAGTGCATGCCTTGGCTGACAGACCATTGAGACTCCACACTTAGGCTCACCCCATCCTTGAGGACTTCTAATTTGAGAAGGTTCAAACCTAAAGCAAGACAAGGCCCGCTGCAATTCACTTGTCCCTTTCTTGAGTTATGCCGCATTGAGTTGTTCCATGGTAAGTTGGCTTGCGGAGAGTCGGCCAGGGTGAGTCAGCTGGGGTGAGATGGCCAGAGGAGTCGGCCAGAACGAATCGACCAGGGTGAGTTGTCCCATTCCCATTTAAAAATCAATTCTCTACTTAACAAATGCTTGCAAGGTTCTTCTAATTCCAGCTAGGTACTATTATGTCAGAGCAAGACCTTGAAATTAGTTAAAAAGCAGAATTCTGGTCTTCCAAAGTAATTATAAGGAAATGTAATTGGTTAATTACGAGCATCTGGATGTTGTCTTATCAACATAATGTTTCCTGGATATCCCATCTAACGCATATAACAATGAAGAGAGAACAGCGTGGCAGTGCCCCTTCCTTTTTTTCTCTCTTTAGTACAGGCAGCAATTATATTCCAGTGGCCATTAAAGTAGTTAAGGGGAAAATAATTGCCCAGTTGAAATTCCATAACCACAAAGACTATTGCCCACCTGGAATGAATTCAAGCTCAGCTCTTGCAGACTATTTTGGAGGGCCTAGGTATGCTCCCCATGCTGCATTAAGAACTAAACTGTGAATGATAAGAACTTGGTTAGTGAAAATTACATATTTTCTCAGACTGAAATATCAACAGTCTGGTCTTATCCTTCTGATTTTCCATGATAAATCCTCATATTAGATAGCTGAAATGGAACAGAAGATGGATAGTGTAGACCTGCACTCATCAACCTTAATTATCATAGGACTTTTTTAATCAAAGAAAATTGTTAGACTGTCCTATGGGACATTGTTGTCCAGACTGCTACAAAAAAACCTCCCATTAAATGATGTCAATTTAGAGAGTTCATATAATTTGGCAAACTGTCTATATGGATTTACTCAGACCAAATGTATTGTTAGGGAATGTTATCTATATCTTAATTTCTATTTTGTACTGAACTGTATTATTTTTGGTTGTTCATTTATTGTAATAAAAAAATGAGAAAATAGCTGGCAGTTCAACAACTGCTTTTCAATTGAGGATTGTTCATGTTTCCCCCAAAATCTATCCTTAGGCCAAGGCCCAAAGCAGATTCAGGGTTCAGAAGTATTGTAAGGGACATTCCTCTGGGGTTGCAGGGGAGATACTTGAATTGTATCGTGCTTAGGGTTCAATTTCAAAAAGGGACTGAGGGGAGACATCTGATCTAATGAAAAGATGCAGTCATGTTAAAGAGTAGCAGACAGGTGCTGTAACTGTACACAATCAATCCAAAGTGCTGCTGCACAGTCCAAGGAGATAAGATATCTCTCAGATCGGCAGAGGAAATCAGCTCCTTGCCCAAATCTCCTTGACCTGGTCTGAAAGCAGTTTGGTTATCTGCCAGAATATTTTTGTTCCAGGTATTCTAATTATTTCTTATTTACATGTGTAGCGATTTCCCCCCAATCTATGCTGAATAGCCTACTTAAAGAAAAAAAAAATAAGTGAAAATAGTTAATCCTAAAGCAAATAAAATATGCATGTATGTATTCCTAGCAACTACATGGACAAATTCATGCAGTTTTCTTGGCAACATTTTTCAGGAGTAATTTGTCCAGCCTTTCTTCCTAGGTCTGGCAGAGTGACTGGGCCAAAGTCCCCCAGCTTGGTTTATATTGAAGGCAGGATTAGAACTCACCATCTCATGGTTTCTACTCTGATCCCTTTAACCACCATATAATTCATAATCTGCCCCATCATATTTTTTGTTTTAAAACCAAAGCACTTTTAAAAATTTGGATCTAGCTTCTTGAGCCAAACATTGTCAATATTTCAGAAAGAGAGAAGACCTATTTTCATTACTTTGTGATATTAATATAGCACCTATATTATATGAATTTGTTCTTTTTTAAATACTACCATATGATGGCAGAACAATATTAAAACAAAAGAACATATTGTATATAATTCCTAGTTTACTGGGCTATTTCCTTCTATTTTACTTTACATATTTTCTCATGAAGGAACCAGAGAAATAATGTGATGCATTTTTGTTTTTTTGATAGCTGTTCTGATGCCGATACTACAGTTGACAATAAGAATGCTTTGTTGGTCTCCATGAAGGACTTAAATGCAACCAGCAGCAAAAGTAAGAGGAAGGGGACATGGTCCCAAATATTGTTCAAGTGGTTTTTTTTTTGTTCAAGTAATTCAGAGAAATGCAACATGCTCATGTTTTAGAATGGCAAAAATTAATGCAGCACAAGTATCTTAGGAGTATTAGTGTTCTCAGTTAACAATTACTTAGGCCAGAGGTCTACTAATTTTGCCTGTTTTTTCCCCCTAGATCTTGTGTAGGTAATTGCTCATGAAGAATAGGAGGAACTAAACACCAGCAATTTCATTTTTATTGTATGTGTTCATGCAGAGAGAATTCAGCAAAGCATTAAGCTGTTACTATTTGGAATATAATTATCTGAATTGCTTTAAAATCAGTGTTACATACTGTATTTGAATGCAAAACGGTGGTTTGGATCCTGGGGGGGGGGCACAAACATAACTTGTATCTGTAACTGTTTAAAGTAGACAGACCTTCCTGCAGGATCATATGTGGGTCTTCTGCAGCTGCTAGCAATCTGGAAAAGATGCACATGGTTGCTGCAGTCATACTCCTGCATGCTCCAAAGGACGTGCAGGATCCAATAGCCCAGTTTTGTATACTCAAGACCATTCAGGGTCTTAGGCAGACTTTCCTAATAATTGCTATCTGAATCTATAGGAGACGTACACAGGACTCCTGTTGCATCTTACTGTTGGGCTATTATTATTTGCTGCTATACTGTCTGTACTGCAGAAAACAGCAGTATAATAAGGACTGTGGAAGCAGAGACTTCTATCCCTTCCCCAAATATCTTCCAGCCCCTTCAAAAGCTCTCACCTATTGAAAGGAGTAGGCTGTAATTCAAGGGGCCATGAAAGAATAGGAGGACATTTCCTTTTGCTCTATCACAAACTATTTCTTTAGAATTGAGCTAACTATTTCAATTTAGTTTCCTGAAAATATGTAGCATGTCTTAAGATGTATTTCCATTTATTTTTGAAATGAAAATCTTATTGAGGGCCATTGCCTTATTTACATTCCGGTCATTGTTACAAATATTTTTCTATTTGATTTTGAAAGAATATCTTCAGGAGATAGGGATGGAGTTTGCCTGGTCTTTTTGTACCAGAGTGTCTTTTCTCTTACATCATGCTTATGTAAGAAGCTTTGTCCTTGAAATCTTGAAAGCTCAAAAAGCATCAATATTTTTCTTTAATGTGCTTCTTCAAAGTAAAAATCACAGGCAGTACCACTGCTTACACTATTCTGATCTTTATAGATACATCAGAATTTCTGCATATTTTTTCCAAGGCCTTTATAGTTGCTCTACCAGATACTAGTCTGCAAAGTATTTATTAACTGCTTGTTCATTTATTGTTGGTTGGTTGATACTAAATGACAGAAGTTTTCGCCACATTGGATATCTTTACTATGGTATTAATTTTAAGACTACTTGTTACACCTATCATTAGTTTGTGGTGGAGAAAATAAATCTAATAAACAAAATGGAGGTTGCTGCACCCTTTTCTCTTCCTGTCTTTTGTTCATGACTAGGGTCCAACCCAACTCCTCTCTTTGCCTAATCCTATCAGACCCAAATTGACCCTCTGCCCCAAACAAAGCCCAGGCAATCCCACTAAAGCAAAGAATAGAAGCCTCCCTTACCAGCTCATATTATAGCCTGTTTTTGTTTTTTTGTCTGTTTTTTTCCTGCATGAAGTGTTTAGAATACATGCCCAAGGATATATATTTTGCCTTATTGTCCTTTTAAAGTTTTTTTTAAAAATCTTTCTGTTTAAGAAGATATTTAAAGGACTGATACACGACTTATAAAGGTTATTTTAAGAAATAACTTGGCAATATTTATATGTATTTTTTTAATTTGGCTTTTAATTGAGGTCCTGATTTTATACTTAGCTGATTAGTTTCTGATTTTATTGTATCTCTGGTTCATGTATGTGCCACCATGTATTTTCATTAGGAAAAAATAGATTATAGTTTTTTTAAAATAATTTATTTTGATATAAAGATTTGTAGCTTGTCTTTTAGCAGAACTCGAAAGGCAGTAAAAACAAGATAAAAACACAGTACTTCACTGAAGTTTTGGAATTGCCTTCATTTTAAAATTCACAGAAATTGAAGAGATTATCAATTTGCCCTATGAATTAATTTCAAACCTTGATTTTTTTTCTTTTTTGGAAGACATTTAATTGGGCAGCATTCAGTTGACATTGAGATAATTTATCTGTAACTATTACCTTTCAGGATGAAAATCACTATGTCAAAGATTAGAAATGAAATATAAACTTTTTATTTATGTACTTGTGTCTTTGTATGTTGTTTCTTTACAACACTCCAGGCCATTCATAATTAAAATGCAGAAATGTGATTATTAAAAAATAATCAAATAATTTTTAAAAAACAGAATGAAACAAAATACTCAGGAACCTTGAGGGAAAAGAGGCTTCAGGGCCCCTGCTGTACAACCTTTGACTTATAACCCAGGCAGGGGCCATCCAGATACTAATGAGAGGAGCTGCTACCAAGAAAAATATGAGCTGAAGTGCTCCATCCATTTCACCTCACAAAGCAGGAAGGAACGTCCTAGCTCCCAGCTGAGTTGCATAGATAAGGCAGACAGATTCTCCCTGGAGAAGATGCTCCCAAATATTGTAGCTTTTGTAAGCCAAAATAAGCACTTTGACCTCTTCTTGGAAATCTATTCACCACTATATTGCATCTCCAAAACAGATATCCTGATGCTCATTAGCCTAGCCCTAGACTAGAGAATAATGTGACTAGTTTTTGTATTCTGGTAAAGGGAATTGGCCATGCCTATTCTGACAGCATTTTATGAGGTTGTTTCTCAAAAGTCTGAACATGTGAATAGCTCAAAATATTGGGGTGCTAAATTTTTAACCTTTAGCTAAGTAATAGCTACTTTCCCCAAGCTCCTTAACCATAAACCCTTCTAGGCTCTATTTTGCCCCATCTCATAAGGAAGAGATAGAGTTATAGAGCATCAACAGATGGAACACCCTACATTAATCTAATTTGTTAGGCTCTAGTCCTGACAGGAGAAATTTAAAATTCTAGCAGTCCTTATGACAAAGAGACAGGATATAGTTCTTGCGCCAAGAAATTTTCAACCAGAAAAAAATTGCATTTGAAGTATAAGAACCCAACTATATATTCTGCACAATGAGTTCTGCTTCCTATTCATATTCCATTATTCCAGCTCATAATGTAAATTAATTTTTCCTAGAAGTCTCACAATCCTTCTTGGCATTCACTACAGACACATACAAATGGTTTTAACAAAAAAAGAGTAAACATGAAAGCACCACAAACAACCCATTCATATTTTACCCTAGAAAGGTCTCTATCACATACATTAGGCTCACCGCCAGCAGCCATCTCAGAATATAGATTGGTTCAGCCTCCACATAAAGCTAAAAGTAACCAGTTACTTTTGGCTTACCATGGTACTCTTAAATGCTAAAATAGCTTAGCCCTTAATTATCTCTTATTATCGCTTTCTCTTTCATATTGGGACAAACAATACAATTAAGAGCCTGAAAACAATTTCAATGGACTATGAGCAACTAGGCAGAAAAGCAAAACATCTGGAAGCACAGGTGGTGTTCTCATCTGTACTTCCAAAGAAAGGTCAATATACAACGAGAGAACAGAGCATTCTAGAAGTAAACCATGGTTCAAGGGAGAGTGCTGCTGAGAAAGGTTTTTGGACCATTACCTACAGGAAGGGCCTCTGGCAAGAGATGGGCTACATTTCACAAAGTCAGGGAAGAATTTGTGTTTGGAAAACAACTAGCTAGGCTCGCCCAAAGAGCTTTAAACTGGGACTGGAAGGTGAGGGAGACCAATCTTTAAAACCAAACCCCAAGTATAATCTATAAGACAACCAACCAAAAATGAGAAAGGGAGTAATGAGAAGGAAGGGGAACTCAGGAAACATAAGATACAAATGCAAGGTCAACTGTATTGAGTTTAGATGCCTATACAATGTATACAGTAATGCTCAGAGTTTGGGTATCAAACAGGGAGGACTTGAAGTCCTAGTACATGAAGGCAGATACAATATTGTTGCTGTTACTGAAACCTGGTGGGCTGGAACCCCTGACTGGAACATGCTGCTAGAATGATATAAATTGTTGAAAAGAAACAGAACCAACTCAAAAAGGGGAGGGGAAGAATTGCATTGTATGTAAAGAGTGTCTACACCTCAACAGACATACCATGGATGAAAGCCTTCTTAAAAGTATTTGGATGAATATCAGAGGAAAAATAAATGACATTGCCATAATTTTGTACTATAGACCAGTGATGGCGAACCTTTTAGAGACTGAGTGCCCAAACTGCAACCCAAAACCCACTTATGCATCGTCGAGTGCCGGGTAGGTGTGGCCCATTGGGTGGGTGTGGCCCATTGGGTGGGTGTGGCCAATTGGGTGGGCATGGCTGCAGTGGTAACGGCAGACTGGATGGGACTAAAAAGTTCAATCAATCAATTCCAACCTTGCAAGAACTTTTTTTCCCCGCGAGAAGTTGAAATTGACTGATTGAACCTTTTTTTTTTTTTTTTTTTTGCACATGGTGGCGGAGGCCTAAAGCGAAAAGGTTTTATAAAACTCAGCTGAAGGCCTAGGACTGGAGTGACAACATGCGTGCCCACAGAGAGGGCTCTGAGTGCCGCCTCTGGCACCCGTGCCATAGGTTCGCCACCACTGCTATAGACCATCCAACCAATTGTAAGAAATAGATGAATTCTTTTCTATTTCATTAGCCACTGTGTGCAGGAAACATACCACTGTAATAATGGGGGAATTTAACTATCCTGATATCAACTGGGAAACAAACTCTGTAGCAAGTGGAATATAGAACAGGTTTCTGACACACCTAGCTAAGTACTAGATGGTCAGCTATACTGTACTTAATCCTAACTAATACAGATGAAACATGAAAGAGACCTAAAATAAGATGGATTGACGACATTAGCAAGTATTACCGGCCCAATTAGCAAAAGAAAGCTCAGGACCACATGGGTTGGAAACGTGCAGAAGAGGCCTTCATCCTGCAATGGATAAACAATGTCTAAAATGATGATGATGAATTCAGATGAAATAGTTGAGGGAGTGGAAGTAGTAGGAACTTTGGGGGAGAGCGACCATGACATACTAAAATTCACCATTATGCAGGCTCCAGGCAACTGAACAAGTAAGACCAGTGTTTTAGACTTTAACAGAGCTGACTTCAACAAACTTGAGAGAGAGATATTAGGAAGGATTCCATGAATGGAAATCCTAGAAGGAAAAGCAGTTCATGGCACATGGGAAACGCTGAAAAAAGAAAAATTAAAGGGCCAATCAAAAACAATGCCATAGAGAAAGAAAAACAAAAGATACCAGACAAGACCAGCATGGTTGCACAAAGAACTCTCTGACAAACTGAAGGACAAGAAGGACAAATATAAAAAATGGAAATCAGGGCATATAACTAAAGTGGAATACCAGCAAATAGCCCAAATCTAAAGGGATGATGTCAGAAAGGCTAAGGCTCAGAATGAACTAAGATTTTCAACAAATACCAAAAGTAACAACATAAATAAAGTTTCTTTGAATAAGTAAGGCACAAGAAAAAAGTCAAGGAAATGATCAGTCCACTAAAGAGAGAAGATGGCAAGAAGGTGGCAGACAACAGGGAGAAAGTACAGCCGCTTAATTCCTTCTTTGCATCTATCTTTAAGCAAAAGGAAAAAAATAGCCCAACCGTTAAAAGCAGCACAATGGTAGACAGAACAGGAAATCAATGTACAGTAGTGGCCAAAATTGTGGAAACCTTTTGGGAAAAGTGTACAATAGAAATGCCACCTTTGGTTAAGTTTCCACCACTTTTTCTTCTAATTTCTTTATAACTGTAGCCTTGTTCACTTAATAATACTATTTTACATCGCTTTCTGGGCAACCAGTCAAGTCTTTGCACCATTACTTTAATTTTATCATGTTTTACAAGCTCACTAAATGAAAGAACACAAAAAAACCCCAACCAACATGATAGTGATCACATAACACACTGACAAATGTCCTCCTCTCAGCTTCAATACATGACATCAATAACTGAATCCTACTGTGAACTGATTGGCTCATTGCCAAAACAAGATGACACCTGATTGGCTCTCTAAACACTCATGCTCATTGGCTACAATCAGATGAAGGAAAGCTACCTGATATCAACCTAAGCAAGATGTACTTCCTTTTTCTGGTTATTTGGCTATAAAATTTCATAGAATACAGTACAGATAATTGAACAAACTTTGTTGCATTACATTCTTGATTAAATTATCTTTCCATTAATATATAATTTTATGGTACTACTCCAAAAAACAAAGTGGTGTCATTAGTCACGAAACCTCAAAAATACACTTTTCCCAAAAGTTTCCACAATTTTGGCCACTACTATAGGTAAAAAATTGGTTTAAAACACCTATCCACTTCAGACAATTTCAAATCACCAGGACCAGATGATTTAAATACTGAATGAGCTAAACAAAAAAATTCAGAGCTTCTGGAACACCAGGGAACTGCCAGAAGACTGGAAAAATGCTCATGTGGTTTCAGTCTTCAAGAAAGGGAAAAAATGTATCCAGGAAACTACAAATCAATCAGCTTGACATCAATACCTGGGGAAATCCTAGAAAGGATAATCAAGCAGCGGATTTTTGGGTGTGATGGCTCAGTGATTAAAGATGCTGAGCTTGTCAGCTGGAAAGCTGACAGCCCAGGTTTGAGACCCGAGCACCAAGCAACAGGTTGAGCTCACATTCCTGCCCCAGTTCCTGCCCACCTAGCAGTTCAAAAGCATGCAATTGCAAATACATAAATAGGTATCACTTCAGTGGGAAGATAACAACATTCTGTGCGCCTTTGGCATATAGCCATGCTGGCCACATGATCATGGAAAATGTCTTCAGACAACACTGGTTCTCTCAGCCAAGAAACAGAGATGACCAATATGCCCTAGAGCAGGGATGTCAAACTCAATTTCATTGAGGGCCACATCAGCATTGCGGTTGCCTCAGGGGGCTGGGTGGGTGTGGCCAGGGTGGGTGCGGCCTACTGGGTGGGCATGGCCTATTGGGTGGGCATGGCCAACTCTACATCGTTCACGTCAAGGGTGCCTGTGGGGGCCTGGACAGGAGTGGGACAGATTTGAGGGTCTCTGGCAGAAGGGGGTGGGACCAGGGCAAGTGCCAACGCATGGTCCACTGTAGGAGCCTCACTG